CAGGGCCACATAGAGACAAACAACCATTCACTCTCTTACTCACACCTAGGGACAATTTTAGAGTTACCAATCAGCCTAACACGCATGTTTTTGGTCTGTGAGAGGAAACCGGAGTACCCGGAGAAAACTCATGCATGCACGGAGAGAACATGCAAACTCCACCCAGAAAGGCCCCCGGACCGGGATTTGAACCAGGGACCTGCTCGCTGAGAGGCAGTAGCTCTACCAGTTGCACCACCGTGCTGCCCGCTAAATTATTTAAAAATAATTTATTTTAAACTTAAAAAATCCATGCCGATCGTGCGGCTCATCCATCAGTCAGCCAATTGTGTGTCGTTCAATCTTACTTTGAAAAACTGCGATAGAGCGAGTCCATGAAAAACGAACCGCAAAGTAGCGAGGGACTACTGTACCCCATTTTCTTTTTAAACTGATGACAGCTATTTGTGGAAGGAACAACATTTTTTTAATGACCATAAAACGCTGAGAAGACATGTCCTCACCTTCTCTTGATACTGCCGTCTGGATGAGTCCAGGGACTGGATCAGAGCTGTTGCATGGCCGATAAAAACAGCATAGCATGTAGCTCCTACAATCATACTCAGCATAGTCAGCCAGATATCTGACAGACTCTCCGGGGCCTGCCGGCCATAACCGATGCACAGCATGTGACTCATCGCCTTGAAAACAGCAAAGGAGTAGAGCTCTGACCAGGTGTCATTCTGTTCAAAGAAAGGAAAGGAGAAAAATAGGCAGTTATAGACAATGATTTAATAAAACAACATTTAAAGTGTATAAGCAGAAAAGCAAATCCTTGGGATGAGTTGAGTCAAGAAATTGTCCATAAAAATGAGAACTTGAGGGCCTGTGTTGCATTATAGGAAAAGAAGGAGGAAGTCAAAACAACATTGGGGAACTCCTAGGAGGCCTAATCAGTGAAGTTAAGAGGGTAGGAAATTATTTCCTTTGAGAGGAATGATAATGAGAGGTCATTAAATATGCCCTTTCAAAGCTGTGTGTGAGCAGGAATCTACCAGAGGCAGCGACAGCCGTGTAGCGGTGACCAGGCTGCTGCCGGTGAGGAGACACTTGTCTCCATATAAACATCCGATTGTAATTTACAAAGGCATTAATGAGGCTGCTTGATGACAGTAAGAAAATGGGATGAACACAACCTGCATAACTGTAAACAAAACCTCAGCGTCGTTCTATTAACAAGGAGGTCTCTGGTTCGAATCGTGGCTGTGCAGTACTTATTTAATATGTACAAGAACAACAAGGCATACAAGGAAAAGACGTAACTGAAACAAAAGGACATTCAGACCAATGTGTCAAGATATATTAGGTGCCAACTGACCCTAGGTAATGCAGAGGACAGCAAAGTTCTATTCATTCATCCATTATCTTTACCTGTTTCTTCCTTGAAAGGTCATGGGGGTCACTGGTGCCCATATCCAGCAGTCGCTGTGCGAGAGGCGGGGGACACCCAGGGATGGTCGTAAGTTTATCACAGGGACGCATAGAGACAAACAAGACAAACAACCATTCACTCACTCACTCACACTGGACAGTTTAGAGTTATCAATCAGCCTAACATGCATGCTTTTATTCTGTAGGAGGAAATCGGAGTACACAGAGAAAACCCACACATGCACGGAGAGAACATGCACACTCCACCCAGAAAGGTCCCCGGCTGGGATTTGATCCGGCGACCTTCTCACTGAGAGGCAACGGTTCTACAAACTGCACCACCGTTCCATCGAGAGCAAAGTTCAAAGAAATTAAAAAAAAATCCTTGAAAAGGCTACATATCTAATACAAATAAAAAATTAAAAATCTGTCTGTAAAAATGAAATAGAAAAGCTTGCATTTAAAAAGTAAGACAGTGCATTAAATATGGTGTTAGGTGGTCAACATGCTATCCAGAGAACAAATGGCACAATCATTTGGAGCACCATGCAGAGGAATTCAGTGCTAGAGACCTTCACATTACAGTCAGCCATCGACCTGTACAAATCTGGAGAGGGGGTCAGAAAGTGTGAACTAAACTTCCTCTATGTGCAGGCAGAGAGGAGACCACGTTGTTTAAACCACAACCAGAAGCTTAGGAGACTGATTACAACTCCATCAGGATAAATTAGGATGTTGTACAGGCCAGTGGATGATCTGAGAAGCACATGGTGAGATAAAACATCTGGTATTAGTGAAAAATATTCATTTTACACAGATTACAGAGACTGAGAGGGAAATCATGTACATGCAGATATTTCTAAGGAGAATGAGTGAACATGGCTGTTTGTCCTGTGATGGATTAAGTCCTGACAATGAATAAATAAATGAATGAATGTGTTGCGACACACCTCTTTACACAAGATCCAAATGACTGAACATTAAGGTCATCAGTGGTCATGATTGTTTTCACCTTTACACAGCTTAGACCTCAGCATTTACAACTGCTGATGAGGTTTATTTCACATAATCCAACCATCCATCCATTATCTTTACCCGCTTATTCCATTTCGGGTCACGGGGGTCGCTGGTGCCCATGTCCAGCAATCTATTTGACATAATAATAAAATAAAATGTTTTAAAAATTCCACCTGAGAACTGTAAAAGATGACTGCCTATTTGTGTAACAAAAGTTTGTAGTTATTTAAAAGATTAAAATATATATAAAAAAATAGATATTTTATTTTCCTTTTTAAGCAATGTTTTAGTTGAATTCAGTTTTATTTTTCTCATATTTACTCCTTTTATGAGTTTCTGTCTGTCCATGTCACTATGTGCTGAGCATACGCCGTGTTAGTGCCAGAGGTGCTTAAAGTCCACCAAACATATCAGTCCATCTATCAGTGCATGTACTTTGTAGTTGGTCCAAAGGTTTAACCAACTCCTGATACATTCAGCATCAGCATCAGTCATACATCAAAGCTGTCCTCTTGTGTACTCCATACGGGATCCTGTCATCATCGTTCCATAAAGTCCCTGAATTTCGAGTACGCTTTGTTCGATCCTGGTGCAGATTGTTGTATATTATTTTTGTTTGTTTGATTTGTTTGGTTTGTCCTTCCATTAAAGTACCTTTGGTTTTATCAACCTGTCTACTCGCTGCCTCCTTGACCACCGACAGTCAAATGTTTCACGGTTTCCTTGATATGTGTAAAACAAAATACCTATATCACGATTCTCTGTTTTGTGCAAGATCAGGGCTGTTAACACAGCGACAGAAAATATAAATCACGTAGTCTGAAATGACCCTTTAGTCAATGTTAGTTTTTTTGTGTATCTCACATGCAGTATGTTTTACATTTTTATGACCAGTAAGTCACAAGAACATCAACAGATCCCAAAAGTTCTTGTGCAATTTAAAGTATGTTGTGTGTTAATTTTATGTGATCATGACTGTAAGGGAGAAAAATCACTGTAATGCCATTTAATTAGTGATATGTGACTTATCTGTGCTGCTGATTATTGTGTGCTGCTTTATTCATTCATACCCCTCTGCTCACCAAAAACTCATGTTCGGGCTGCTGTTGTTACACACTATTGTTTGACATTATTAGTGTTTTGCATATAGCTTAGTGTGTATGTTAGATCCTTATATACTGTTTCTTTTTATACTTTATATTTTAGCTGTTTTAGGGTGTAACAGGGACCTCGAGTACATATTTTGGTTCCCCTTCATGTACCACATGTGATGAAAATAACAATAAAATTGAATTGAGCTTTAACTATTGAGTGGTTTTTTTTTTAATCAAATGCAGAAAAGTTTGATAATTTCAAACAGCTGAAAGGACAAAACAAGCCATCTGAAACACTGAGACCAATGTTGGAGTTTTCCTTAATGTTTCACATTCCAAACAAAAACAGAATAATAATTAAACTAAATGGTCATAACATGTGAAATTAGAGAATTGCAGGTGGAGTGTGTTTTCCACGAAGAGGTCTGCTTTCAGCAACACAACAACAAAAGGCTGCAGAGTGGCAGAAAGGCATCTGTGTGTGTGTAGAAGAGAATCAAGACTCCAAAAATAAATATGGCTCCACCAAGTGGGCTGGGACTAAATGGTGGATGTAAAAACAAAAAAAGAAACAGTGGAGTGAAACAGATTGAATAATAGATGAATGATGGGCACTTTGATTCTGAAATAGCACGGTAAGAGAGTCGGAGAGACTCTATATCCACCTGAATCTCAGCTGTTCTCCTCAGAGGCTTCAGTTTGGGAACCATCCTCTGCTTTAATCAACATCTATTTTAGCTGCGGGGAATATATCTGAACTTAGCTGACAACAAAGAGGCTTTATATTTAGCTTTTTGTGAGCATAAATTGTGTCTGCTCTTACCCTGCTGCACACAGTACCTTCAAAATAAGCTAAAATGCCAAATAAAACATTAATTCAGCAAATTATGGCTACATGCTTTAAGGAGTGCCATGCATTCTCTCTGTTCATAAATATAGTTCAGCTTTTAGCTTAGACACAGTGATGCAGCATTATGCATCGCTGAAAAAAACAGAGCTAAACACTGACATGTCTCACAACGTTACTTTGCATTTTATATTAGTCTAAATCGTATTTTTGTCTGCTAAATATTATAATTCACAATATTTTCCTGATAAACATTTTTCTACTTGACCTCAGTGCTGAAAAAATTACAAAAATAAAAAGTAAATTAAAATAAAATATAACATTTGGCTGAATGATCTACTGGAGTCCCTGAATATCTGCACACAAGTTGGTGATTTGACTCTTTAAAACCTCATTTATGCTCATTAATATTGTATGTTTGTTTCTGATGTACAGTAACATTACACCTTTTCCAATTTTTTTGTGTAGCTCTAATAATGTGCACATTTATCTTAGTCTCTGTCTGCACCGGCTACTCACCTGCAATTCTGCTTTAATGTTGTAAACCAATTCATATTTTCAGTGTCAACGCTCAGTTTTTTATGATTTCATGTTCAAAACAGAAACTGATGATAGTGGGAAAAAGATCAAATTGTACAGAGCCACCAACAAGATTTTATATCAGAACATTTTTCACATATTTCCCATTAGTTGTAACAATGCAACTTGACTATTTTATCAAACAACTTGATTTATATTCTTCTTCTTTCAGTTGTTTCCTTTTCAGGGGTCTAGCTAGTCATCCTCCTCCATCTCACTCTGCATCCTTTGTCCTCACTTCATCTACCTCCATGTCCTCTCTAACTGCATCCATATACTGTATCTCCTATTTGTTTTTTTCATGGCAGCTGCATTTCTAACATCCTTCTACCAATATACCCACATGTCCAAACCATCTCAGTCTGGTCTCTCTAACTTTATCTCCCAGTTGTTCAATTTGTGCTGTACCTCTGATGATCTCATTCCTAGTATTATTCATCCTTGTCACTCCTGAAGAGAATCTCAACAGCTTAATTTCTGCCACTTCCAGTTCTTTCTCCTGTCTTTTTGTCAGTGCCACTGTCTCCAGACCAGACAACATAGCTGGTCTCACCACTGTCTTTAATTTTTCCTTTGACCTTTGCTGACACCCTTTTGTCACAAATTACTCCTGAAACTTTTCTCCATCCACTCCATCCTACCTGGACTCTCTGTTTCACCACTTTACCACATTCCCCATTTTCCTGGACAGTTGACCCAAGTTCTTGAAATCCTGCACCTTTGTGACCTCTGCTCCTTGTAGCCTCACTGTTCCACCGGCCTCCCTCGCATTCAT